CACCCCTATATGGCGATAGAAAGCCAGAACCATTAGTGTAACCACCATCCACCAAATAATATTGTCCTGCATTGTAAACGATTGTGTTATGTTTGATTGAATGTTTTAAGGAGGGGTGTTGTTTACACTATTTATTCTAAAAAAGAAAGATAATACCGTTTGGGACTCGGAGTGAATTTTCCCTAGTGATTGCATCTCTTAGTACTCGATTATCAGCAGCAGACCCCTCCCATCCACAAAGCATGTAGACGAAGTTCATATTTCTATCGCACACCCCAAGTACATTAACTGACACTTGACCCTTTCGATTCCTATATCTTCCCCTATCTTTTGATGGGACTCGCACGTTAATGTATGTACCATCTAGTGCTCCTAGACACCCCTAATGAAAAAAACAAAAAAAAAGAAAAATAGTATTAGTTTGGAAAGAGATGATAAGAAAAAAATGACTAAGGATTGGTAAGGGTGTTGTGTAGTAGGCTACCTTGAACCATTTCCACCGTGAATCTGAACAATCATCCTCAACTAGCTTAGGTGTGGCGACTAGGACGGTGTGAAGGCGGATTACCGCATCAAGTACACTGTTAAAGTACTTGCTTACGGTTCTACTTGATCTCGTAAAATCAAACTTCAAGGTGACGTTTTTCTTATGATGTGCGAGGATTGAAAGAAACATGGCAACTTGTTCACTCGGTGCAACGTTTCTAGATTGAACAAGGCCCCCTAAATTTTCAAGGAGGAAACAAAGGCGACCAAAACAGTTCTTGTCCATATGGAGGTTCTCAAGGCAAGTGATGTAGCTAACGTCGACTAGCCTTTGCATATGACTCACTTGAAGGGGCACTCTATCCCTCAATCGGTATGTGAGTCCGCTAGTCAACGAAGGTCGACGGCGGCGAGGGAGTATGAATTTGTGGTAGTAGTAACTAGCTACTATGAAAAAAAATCAAGCACCAAGAACAATCTCTTCCAAAAGAGTGCGAATTAGTAATTTGTCTCGCACGTTATCCATCTACGAAGATTGAACAACATACGGACTTCAATGCGTGGCAACAATGTGCAAGTAGTAGACATTATGGAGAAAGGAAGTGTTGAATTATATTCACACATAAACACAATTAAAACAAAAATAAGCACAATTAAAAAAAACAAGCAAATTTGTTGAAACCACCACTATTGTGCCCATTGGTGGTCTAAATTGAGACAAATGAAGAAGTAAAAAATCAGAAGGAAAGACAAAGCTGCCCTTGTGGACAAATTAATGTCATTTGCTGATATGTAAATGACATATGAGTTAAAAAAAATAATTAAAACAAAGCACCAGATCAAGCAGTTGTGGACAAATTAATGTCCTTTGCTGATATGTAAATGACATATCAGTTAAGAAAATAATTAAAATGAATCACCAGATCAAGCAGTCATGTGTAACAGCATTCTTTTATATACTTGCCTTCATTTTGTACAAACAAAATTAGAACAAATTAAGCAAATCACATGTACAAATGGCACAAAATGCTGAAACAATAATACATGAACCAGCTTAAGCAGTTAAAACTGAAATCATAATCCTGTACAAATGGCACGCAATGCTAACCAACTAAATAATACTGTACAAATGCCACACAATTATCACCAACAATCAAATTAGACTCCATAAAACATCATTAAGAGGCATTTGCCTTTCACATTTTCATAACTACCAACATACATATACAAATCAAGCATTTAAGCAAATCACACCAATCACAATTCTATGGACTAGCTAAAACAGTCACAATGAAATCATAATACTGTACAAATGCCACACAATTCTCAGCAACTTAATAAGTTCTGTGCAAGGATACACAGACAAGTGCCACACATTTCTCACCAACAATCAATTTAGGCTCAATAAAACAGCATTTATAGGCATTTGTCTTTCACAAACAAAGGGAGCAAAAAGCAGGTGAATTTCCAATAGATCCCCATAGCCGCTCCTTGAATTTTGATGATGGGTTTGATTATCAACACAAGGTGGATTTTAAGGGAGTAAAATTCAAGGGGTGGCAAGAAAGGACTATATGGGTTTATATTGTTTTCACATAGTTATGGAGGAGCCTTTGAAGGCTGGTTTGTTGCTCAAAATCTCTTTTCAAAAAATATCAGGTTTTCTTTCTTTAGACTTTACCATGTTATTTAACTACTTACATGTTGTTGTTCATTTGCCTTTGACATTTTAATAACTACCAAGGTACAAATATAGAACAGTCAATAGGTATTTCATGCATAAGCTTCACCAGATCTTAATGAATGCACATAAAGGCATGAATTTACTCATCCTGGAAATGCTAACTTATGTAGGCAACAAATTTAGACTAACACACCATTTTGAAGTGCCATACAAACAATTTCATAAACTGTAAAGGCCAGAATGGAATAAAGCATACTCAGATTGCAGTCATGTGGAACACAATGCTTTTAAAATTTTGCCGAGCTTCTTTACCAAACACAGTTAAAACAAACA